GGCCAAACTGGTAGCTACACTTATAGCACTGATAAGAATTTTACAGCAAATATTCATTCATTAGCTAGCCAGGCCGCATATTTCATTTTACCCACCACCATACTCCAAGCTGAACAAAAAATGCGGCCTAACTAACTTATGAATGAATATTTGCTGTAAATTCTTCTCTTCGCTAGAAATGTAGCTACCAGTTTGGACGCCAGTTTTGATTTCATTCCTTTAATTCGCACACTCAATACATTTTTGCCCGCACCTTTTTTCACACCTAAGGTGTTTTTGATTAAATTGGCTTACAATAAGGCGGTATCCTAGTGGCACAGCAGTATGTCTGCGGATTTACAACCGGGTTTCGATACCCGTGGTGGGCAGAGCATAGATAGTCCATTGTGTAGCTTTGTGCTTAATTACAAACAAACTACACAATAAAGCCACTCTTTTGTTAATCAAACACCGAACATACACTAAGCATAAATGTTCGAATTCATTTACAGGTAGATAATTAATGAAAGGCTAAACAATATAGTCTGTTCTTTCATATAGCTATAACTTTTTTTTTTAATGTCTTTTGTATTTACATTTTCTTCACTGTATATTTTCTTACATGAAGGGGTTACACTACCCAGAAAAACTTGAGTTCTTTCTTTCTTATTACGTTTAAGTTTCGACTTTCGGTATCATATTTTGTTTCAACACTTACTAATGATCCTTGACAACTTTTTTTCGCTACCTCTTGGACAATAGAAATGAAAAATAGTTTACTTTGACTTCGTTATTCTAGCACTCAGTTGCTAGCAAGAAAGAATTACAGGTATTCGTCTTCTTTTCAACAAAACATTACACTCTTGTGCAATCTTATTATGATAAAATTTATTGTCTAACAAAACAAGGAAAATATAGCAATCCTACTGTGACAGTATGTTAGGAATAAATATTATTTGTGATCATTACCCATGCATAATTGGTACATTTATGTCAAATGTATGCCTAACCACTATATATATATAATAATTAAGACACTTATTTTCACTAGTGATACCGGTATTATATGTTGTTGTATCATATAACAAAGCCAATTCTGACGTTCTTGAATCATATATCCCATGTACATAATGGAGTGAAAATTATTCTCATCTATACAGCTGGTTGTTTTATGTTACCTGTGACGTAGTGGCGTGCTGTTAAAGTTTTACACTATTTCTTAGTTTCTTCCTTGACTGTTTATGTAGTACAGTCACTGCATGTTTTACTGCTCTAGTCAAATGAATGAGATGAGCAAACAGTTTGGAATTGGTGTCAGTTTTGAAATTTGAATGAATATAAGTGACAAGCAAAGGAATACATTTAAATGTTTCACGAAATTATTACCAAGTAGGAATGTGGAAAATGATGGAGGAGGTTAAGTTGATCAAGTACGTGAAGTATCTCTTACAATTCCATTTGTTTATATTACAAAAGTAATCAAACTAATCAGGAGATACAAAATTACTTTATTAAATGTTTATAGGACCTTCAAGCTAGAAACAACAGTAAACGCTCTTCGTTTTATTAAATATATATATGATGTTCTTTATAAAGCTTGATTTATAGGTTTAATCGCCTGTAATTGATATTCGTGAAAATCTGCTCATCAGTTTAAAAGATTCATTAAACCATAAATCGTATTTTTACATTAAATGGTAAGAATCAAAACGTGCACATTTTATTTGCTTTTTAGTAATGGATACATAGAATGTATGTCGTAATCATGTCACTAGATGGGAGCACTAACAAAAGAATACATAGAAATTATACCGATATAATTTTACTGTAACAATTAATAGACTACAACGTTTTCTATAAGTGCAAGAACCAGAATTTTTCATTTGTTATCAAAACTTTTTAATCGTACTATTCCGTACTGAGATTTAACGTGCGTCATATACATACTCGTATATTGAGTGTTTTACTATTCAAGGAGTCTCTAAAAGGAAAATATTACTTGGATTAGATATACCACTTGACACGACTACAATAATTGATAAAGACACTTTGTCTTTTTTATATTGATAAATGATAAGCATAAATGAGTATGTATTTACACATAACTTTTCTTTTACAAGAAAGCGTAATGAATTAGAGCACTCTGTAAAGTGCCTTATAATTTGTTAATTTTTGTGAAACTTTAGAAAAGCAAATCAATACATAGTGTAAGTTTATTTTTATTGCTATTTTTTCTTAAATTAGTGATAACAATAATTGTATTTCTTTTTATAGATACCATGAGAAGAAATAATTTTGCATTGATCTTATTAGTCCAGTCAGTACTTTGGATCCAGGTATTGACGCTACACGATGATAAGATAACTAAGGAGAGTAAGGTAAGAATTTTGAAATGTAAACATGTTTACTTGATTGTTTGTTATGAATTTCGCGCAAAGCTACACGAGGGCTATCCGCGCTAGCCGTCCCTAATTTAGCAGTGTAAGACTAGAGGGAAGGTAGCTAGTCATCACCACCCACCGCCAACTCTTGGGCTACTCTTTTACCAACGAATAGTGGAATTGACCCTCAAATTATAACGCCCTCACAGCTGAAAAGGCGAGCATGTTTGGTGTGACGGGGATTCGAGCCAACGAACCGCAGATTGCGAGTCGAGCGCTCTAACCATCTGGCCATGCTTAGCCATTTTTTACTTGATAACGATATAAAATTACGTGCCCATCGTGGATAGCACACCTGATTTTTAGTGTTATAAATTTTCAAGCTTACCGCTTAGCCACCGGAAAGGGGAGCAGTAATTTAATAATATTGTTCATTTTCAAAGACAATCTGCGCTAATCGTTCATAAATTTTGAATTAATATATTTTTAAAGAAGCACCAACCATCTGTTCTTCGACTTCTCTTGTCTGACTAAATATAGTGGAAATTGGACATCACTCTTAAAACATACCCACGGCTTCAAAGTGCAGAACGTAACTTTTTTTTATTTCCTATAAGTGGACACGAACGATGGACTCGCACATTGGTGGTGTGGAACGTCAAAGTCACTATTATGCTAGGTCCCTTTTGATAATATATTAAGTTAACATAAAGTTCTAAAATAAAGCTTGTTGTAAGTCCGAGGGCTTATAATGCCAAATCTTGGCTTTCGATATTCGTGATAGGCACCGCACAAATAGAACATCGTGTAGCATTGTGCTTGACAATAAAACAAACAAGTTGATGTAAGTTAAGTATTGCTTCTTTTACTTGAAAATGTACTTAAGAAAAACAAAAATAAAACACAGTTACCTAATCATAAGTGATTGAAGTAAAATATATGTAAGATTTATTTAAAAACTGGTATATGCGTGATGATATTTAGTATGTTTTAAGTTTTCATTTTTATTTGTTACTGTTATATGTTGAAAATGGGAACTAATTATAAGAAACTTGGAACAGTTTGATCACAAGGTTTAAATAGCCAGGAGCTAATGCGTATGCTTAATGTACAAATTGTTGATTTTTATATATATTGTTTTCAACTTAGGGTTTGTTCCAATCATTAGTCACCCCATCTTACTCTAATGTCAACATTTCAAGTTCAAAACAAACTCAGCATCTCAAGTTGAACTATTTTCTGGAAAACAAAACCAAAAATAAAGTACGAGTACGCAGACTTTCTAGGAGAAAAAGATATGCAAATGTTCTATTAGAAGACGGTGGAAATTCGATAATGAAATCAGCTTCCAATCAACTAGAGACTGTTAATAAAGACACGGAATGGGATAAACAAGAAATGTCTGACAGTTTTCCTTGGGATAATTCACATAATAGCATAACAGTAAAGAGTACGTCAAAGTCCATTCAAAGTCATCGAAAGAATGAGGACACTTCAGTGTACAATGCACAGGAGTCATATCATTCCAACTTCGTCTTTACAACAAAAAACAGTAACCAAATGAATTATAAGAATAACCTTATGAACGATAAACCGGATTTTAGAATAAAACGTGATATGAAGAGTACGTATTACTCTCAAAGAGAAGATCAAATTAACCAAACGAGTCATCAAAACCAGCTTACGCGAAACAAGAACATCTACGACAATAATAATAAAAATTTATCTTTTCTCCTGCCATCTTTTCGCAATAAGACTCCTAACGTTGAAAATAAAATGATGCTAAATCTCAGCAATAAAAATATCAGTGATGCTGAAGATGAAATGTCGTCATTGTACAGTAATGTCATTAAATATGGAAATCAGACTATTTTATCATTTAGTAATGACCCTAGTCATACTGACTATAAAAACCTAACACTCTTTGACAGCAACTCCTCTAACTTAAGCAATAAATATGTTTCATCCGATATCATTCCATATTCATCGTTGATTGAGAAGATAACTGCTGTATCTAAAGGATTGTTCACAGTACTTAGCCAGAATCAAAGTAATATACCTGGTGTAACAAATTTCGTTTTCATCAAACAAGTTTCCAATTTCTCTAATGAAAACATCTTACCATTCCTTATTAAAAATGACATTTCACTGTTAAATAACCAAACTAAAACTAGTATTAAGAACACTGTTGTGGCAAAGAATAACATTTTACCATTCGGAAGTAATAATATATTACTGTTGAACAGTAACACAAATATTTTGGCCTATAAGATATTTTTTTCCAGTAATGGTAATATCAAGTTTCATAAAAACATATCTTACAGTAATAGGAATGTAACTTCACCCTCCAGCAACATTACTAGTATCCACAGCCATAAAACAAAACCTTTCAGAAGCAAAGCTACAAAAGCTGGTATTAATACAACTTCATCTTTCAGCTATACTACTACAACCTGTTGTCATGCAACAAAGTCCTTTAATAGCAAGGATACAGAAGTTGGTAACAATATTACTTCATTTACTAGAAACACAACTAACACTCTGGATAATAAAACAAAAACCCACATTGAAAATACTACACTAGTTGGCATTAGCACTTTACCCAACAAAAGTAGTAGAAATGTATCATTTTCACCTTATTTGAACTCTTCTACTGATTTGGAAGTTGAAGTAACAAGAAGAAACCATCCAATGACAAATGGTTCTAGTAATGCCACAGAAATGTTACCTCCAGAATTTCAGAACGACATTGCATCTTTTCAAAACTTATTAGAAAGAGTTTTTGGTAAACTATGAACAACATTTGATAGGTATTAAAATGAATTTTTGTCAAAATGGAATCAGTTAGGATCAAATCAGATTTTAATAAGATTTAAAATTTGACTTTGAACAAATAGATTTAAAAACATTATTAGCGTCTCCATTCAATTTTGAGTGTAACAAATTATATTATTTATGATTTTGTAAATTGTGTGAATACAGTAGTGAAATAAATTATTAGTTATTTACAAGTACATTCTTCTCCTTTTTAAAACGTGTACAACTATGTAATCAGACTATAACATTATTTGTGTAAAAACAATAGTAAGTTCAACATTGCATGAAATTTATACTTATAATTAATTTGAATTTAGAATATGGTTATTTGAGTTTATGTAAAATAAGAATTTACAAAAATGTAAAATCTACAAGTATATATTAAGTGTAGTTATTATTAACCTCTAACCAAAGCAAGCTAAATTTTCATCAGTCACAACTAAAAATTTATCTACTGATTTAATATAGTTAATTTAACATACATACTGGATGTATATAAAGTCCAAAAACAAGTATTAGAATTTATGGTGTTTTTAAATGTTATTTACTCACACAGTGATCTTATACGTATATATATATATATATATATTTCAAGAGTATGCAACATTAATGCTATTAATTTATTCTTGTGAATTATTCATCCAGACAATCTGTTTGAAATATTGAAAAATAAATGTGAAGAGTGGCTGATGTGAGGTGAAATGCCCCGAAACGTATATAACTCAGTGATAAGTGGTAAATTGAATGACAGATTAACCATCACATGATATATTTGGGTAATTTTGATTAGAATGCATTGACTCATCAGTTGGGTAGCCTCACTATTAGTCATATTTTCAGCCATAAACCCAATAATATCTCCAAAAATTCAGTGAGCTTAAGAGATTTAGCTTAGTTTTCATTTTATATACTAAGCTAACAATGCAAGATAAATATAATATATATATCACAAGCATAGCAAAAAATAAGTGTGTGTGTGTATATATACATATATAAATGAAATAAGTGGATGCCTATATTGTGGTATTTCTGGACCAGCACCCACAACAATACTGTAATGTTATTTTTTTATGTTGGTTATCTAACGAATTTCATAACAGTACACTCTATGTTTTTTGTGTGTTTATTTAAACTTTGAAGTGTGTGGCAAAATCTATGAAATGTAAGAGACTAATCAAAATATTTTTTCTACAGCGGCACTATTTATTTACAAGTTCATAGCATTTGCTTATCCTAATGAAATAAGACTTAAGGGCTAAGATTCTAGTAAAACAACTTAGCTTTATAGGATAGATTGTTATTAAAAACACCTTTAATAACCACAATTAATTTTTATATAAATATCCTTTCAAGTACTTGCAAAAAGACACTTGAAACACAGTTAAAAATAAAAAGTAGGTTGAGAGAACAAAGCAATACAGTTCACATATCAGTTTCTTATAAAACATTTCCAATGATGAATGAACAGGAGTGAAGACAAAACACAATAACTCTTTCTTCCGGCTCTGGATTCAAAGTCCCCAAAATCGTTACATTATTCATAGTATGGAATTTTAGCTTCTCATTACTTAATGTTGCCTATCAAGGACAGGTTTCCCCAATCAAGATGAAATATATAGAAAGGGTGGCACTGACTCCTAACAATTTCCCACTTATTTTTAATGACTTATCTCATGTTGATACTAGAACAACCAATATTCTTAGAAATAGTATTGATTTTACATCAATAAAAATGTGAACCTCTTGTCCCTAAAACCACACCTTTATTGATGTGATATCACTAATACTTTCAAATATAGACTTCAAAACAAAGTTTGATTTCACACCCTTGTTTAAAAATTTGAAAGTGTGTAATTCACATCTTGGTCCTATATTTTGGGATAGAAATTTTAAAAAGTATGGATATTATGTTGGGACAAATGGTCTACCTATTCAGAATTATTTGATTGAAATTAAGACAAAATATTTTTAAATAATAAATCTCAAATCTTTATTGATGCTTTATTATATATATATATATATATATATATGATGTTTCACTAATTTGATTGATATAAGGAATGATCACATTGGAAAAAACAAGTATCTTTGGGTATTACTGCATCTAATATCTGGGGATGTTACATCTTCAAAATACAAGTATGTGAAAAGCAAAATAGTAAGTGGACACAGTGAATTTATTTTTAAACACAAATAACACATAGTACTATTTTATCAATTAGTGATAAGGCAAAATATAGGAACAGAATAAATTAACTCAAGTAGCAAAATAACATGAGACACTGTCACTCAGCCTTCATGAAATAAAAATGCTCAAATTGTAAATTATGTTCTACATAGTTTGTTGTATAATTTCTTTGCTGAGTGTGATAATGAATTAAAATCACTAATACCATATAATTTCAGGTCACGTCTTTATTTTTAAGTTTTGTAACATACAGTCAATCTGAACTAGATAACTCTTCTATTCAGAACACTCTGTTACCAAGTTCTTCTAATAATATATTGTTACGAAAGCGAGGGTCACGTGACGCTAGTAACACGTCATATTCTGGAAGGTTCGTGAAGTCTCGAGCGTTTACTAGATATGCGGTATTCTTGTGTATATAAGACCGGTAAGAAGTGACGGCAACAATGTAATGTGTGTAATTGAAATGCAGACAGAGGTAGATACGAACAGTTGAGAGCACGTGTGTGGTTCGTTGTGAATTATAGCGTTTGTTATAGCGTGACTGTGGAAATTAAGTATATTGCAAAGTTGTACTCACTAAGAATAAACCAGTTTTATTTAAGAAAGGACTTTTATCGCTAAAGTTTCTTCAGAAAGAATTTTTACGGAAAATTAACTAACGACCAGAGACGTAACAATATATATATAAATATAAAAGAGATTTTATTATTTTTGTTTCTGTTCACATAAAATTTAAGCCTAAATAATAACTGTTTTACAAGTATTAAACTTTTAGCTATATAATACAATGTAAGATACACAACAAGGAAAAACAAATGCCTTTCTTCTAGAAAGTCTCTCCAAATCTTTACTCTCCTTTACTTCTGGATCCACTTTTTTGTACCATTCCTGTTTTCTCGTTTCTCTTGCATAACCTTCATCTCTTCATGTTTCTCCTAACATAGTTTGACCTATTAATAACAGTAGTGTTACAGCTGGGTATTGCTGATCTTGTAGTATTAGAGGTATTTCCTATGGATGTTGTGGCAGTAAATATAGTGGTGGCTCCTTTATATAGCTTAATGATTTGGCTCAATACTTCAGTACACCGGCGTAGCAGGGGGGGGGGTGCGGCCGTGCCCCCTCCTTTGGCTTGTACAATTCCTAATTTAGATATATAAATTTTCGCAGTTTTATGTTCTTTAGCTTCAACTTACATCTAGCCCACTCAAAATCCTATTTATGGTATCCACAATTTCAAGTTCAGCGTAGTCGTGATTCGCGGTAGCTGAGTGGCGTCAATAAAGTGGCATGTTATTGTTACGTCTCTGGTCGTTAGTTAATTTTCCGTAAAAATTCTTTCCGAAGAAACTTTAGCGATAAAAGTCCTTTCTTAAATAAAACTGGTTTATTCTTTCTGAATACAACTTTGCAATACACTTAATTTCCACAGTCACACTATAACAAACGCTATAATTCACAACGAACGACTCACGTGCTCGACTCAACAGTACGTCTCTATCTCTGTCTGCAGTTCAATTACATTACATTGTTGCCGTCACTTCTTACCGGTCTTATATATACAAGAATACCGCATATCTAGTAACCTCTCGAGGCTTCAGGAAGGGACGTGAACGTTCCAAAATATGACATGTTACTAGCGTCACGTGACCCCGCTGTCGTAACACCCACAAGCAAACAAACAAATATTTCTTAAGTTATTATAATTGTAAAACATAAACAAGCTTTTATAATTTTAAAAAAGTTGTTTTAATTTAAAAAAAAAACAGCAAGTTATTAGAATTTAAAACCATATTGCATGACACCTTTCCATTATTACACGTATGTACGTGCTACATGATACTGTGTCAGTATCTTGTAAAATGTCTACATTATTACACGTCTGGACATGCTACATGACGCACTGTCGGTATCTTGATTTCTTGTTTTTATAAAGCTAACCATGGTAAGCGTATCACCACACATATATTCTAATCGCTAATGTTTTACTCGATATCTTAAGTAGATTAAAAACTTCCTTAGAGATTGTGAAACGTCGCCGTAATTCTAAAAATAAGTTTGAGAATATCTATACGACCGACATCAGTCGAAACTACTGTTTCAAGGTAGAGTCAAAACTGCAGCTCAAATCGCATATAGACAGTTCTCGCTACGCAAGCTATTAATATAAGAATTAATTATTCCCGTTACAACAACGTGACGGCAGTGTGCCAATCCGTAAATAAATATCACACCCCTGTACAATGTCAGTTAAAAAAGAATTTTATTTCGAAGCGCCTGTTCGCCTTGCGTCAGCAGCCACAATTTTCGAGTAGTTCAAAAGAAGTCTTGGATTCAGCCGAAAAGCAGATTAGCCACTTACAATGAACAATTTACTTTCACACGAGAAACCAATTGCTTTTTCTAGCTAAATGTTATACAGATGAATGTGACACTATGCGTTTATAATTAATAAAAAAATTCCGTTTAAAAGTTTAATGTTTTTATTTTTTTCGACTAAGAAATAGACATTTTACAAGATACTGACATAGCATCATGTAGCATGTCCAGACGTGTAATAATGTAGACATTTTACAAGATACTGACACAGTATCATTTAGCACGTACATACGTGTAATAATGTAGACATTTTACAAGATACTGACATAGCATCATGTAGCACGTACAGACGTGTAATATTGTAGACATTTTACGAGATAGTGACATAGTATCATGTAAGATGTCCATAGCAATAATAATACAGACGCTTACAAGATATTGACAGATCGCTATGTAAGAGATCCAGATGTGTACGGCCCGGCATGGCCAGGTGGTTAGAGCGCTC